GAGGTTGCCAAGGCAACACCACTTCAACCTCCTTACATTTCTGCTTTGATATGGAACCTCTCATTATATAAATGTATCACAACACCAGTCAGCATGACGGGCTATTTTACAAATATGCACTCAGATAGCAGACAGCTATAGTCCTCTCTTAAGTAGGGGGGGAACGCAAGAATAACATTATCTTTTAAAAAGGGGGAGAGAAACATTCCAAGCTTTATAGGTTTTAGTACAAAATTGTATCCTGAGCTGTCTAATGCAGATAATAAATTTGTGTTATTTGGCCAAAAATCCACAAAAGGGCAGGAAGCAAATAAAACAACAGCAACAAAAAGAACCACCCTAAACCCACCACACAAGTTGAGTCTGAGATAAGATTCTCAAATTTTGAGTAATTGGAACTAACAACTGTGTATAAAAGCTTTACTGAACCATTGGAAATCTGATATCCAGCGTATGTTGTTCAGAGCTACAGACCAGACAAAGTTTAGTAAAGCATAAAAGATCTACCAGGAGCCTGCTGACACTTTTTTAACCCTAAATTTGAGGTCTAAAGTAGTACTTAGTGATACACCACTCGCCCTTTTTTTACTAAGCAGTATTCAATATGTAGTAGTCTACCTACAGTTACAATCCAGGACCTTTCAGAGAGCCAGGCTCCTGCAGGAGGAGGGCTCTGTTAAAGATGGTTTCTTCTGTGTTTCCTCCTTAGTTTTCTGGACCTCACTGAGTGTGAGCAGACAATAAGCTGATCCAGAATGCACAAGGCATTGCTGGCTAGGTTACCAACAGGATGGCAATAGTTTCAGATGTATCTCTTCACACCCTTCCTTGTGCCCTAGCACCCTCTGTGCTACCAGAAGGCTTTCCAGAGACAGTATTACTAACAATCAGCTAATTCTGCATCATCTGGGACACTCCAGCATGAGCTTTGAATTTCTAAAGAAAAGATTGTTACAAGTAAGAGTACGCATAGATATTTGTAGAGATGGAAAAAATATGAGAATTGGAATGGTCTGGGCTTAATTTTTTTTACTTCCTCCCTCGCTTCCATTTCTGAGTTGTAATTTTTAGTTAAACTCATCATGACTCTGACACACTGGTCATCATTAACAAAGTAAATCTCTGAATGTGTCACAAGAGGAAGGGGAGAAAAAATACCACTAGGGGGCACATACAGCACTAGAAAAGCAATTGCTCCTTCATCCCATCAATTTTGTCAGTTCCAGGTCAGAGACAACTGCCCCCAGTTTGCAATGGCCAAATAACACCACTTACAGATATTTCTAGTTGAATGTAACAGCAGCTCCCCAATTACCACAGAGTGCCCATTGCTATGGTTTCTAAAAGAAGAAATCCCTCTTCACTTACTTGTGAAGAATGTTACTGAAAAACACCTTACACCACAGGTTCCTTTCTGGGTTATGCCATCTGCTATGCACTCAGAGCGCTGCAAAATGTTCAGGGCATGGAGTATCATACATCACCCCACTGCACCCCAAGCCTTGCTGTACTGTCTATAGAACCAGCTTCACTACATAGCCAAGTCCTGCTGTAATCCCCAAAGATGAAAGTGTTGTAAGACTGAGGAAGTGCACAGAATTCTCAATTTCACTGGGTAACGGAGCAATGTTCCATTAATGCTGTTCTTTACTTTCCCACTACCATGCCGTTTTTCTTTCCCTAAAGTGTTCAGATGATGAGTCAAATGACTAGCTAGTGAGTGTCCCAAATCCTTCAGGCCACTCTTTCCTAACACCCTTCCGGTTTGCATGTTGATGGCTCTGAAGAGGACAAATTTTATACCTGGAGTCTAAAGCCCTAAAATTTAAAATAAATAGCCTAAAAAAAAAAAAAAAAA